TTTTTCTTAAATTGTGTCTCCTTTTCTTTCATTTGCCATCTATATAACTAACCTCCTTCTTTCCTATCAAACTCCTTCTCATTGTCTCTCTCTCTCTCACTGTTTATCTAATTTTTTTTCAAGTCTGCAAAAAATTTTACAGAAAAGCAAAAAAAAAAAACATTTAAACTAGTTTAAAACATTTTTTCTCTTGTCTCTTTTTTTTCTGCTTTCCAAAGATGGACACCAAGGTAAGCAAATGTCTTTTCATCCACTGTGTCATTCTTTTTGTTGTTACTTTACGTTTCTTCCAATTTTTCCATGCACTTCTTCTTATCACTCATATTTTTGTCTCTGTTGCATTCTAAATGTATGACATCTTTATTTTGTCTTTCACAACCTTCATATCTATGCCCATGCATGCAAACATTTTATTTATTTATATATATATATATATATATATATATATATATATATATATAAACACATATATGCCTGTGATTTTTGAAAAAGCCTTCTTTATTTTAATAATTTGCATAAAGATTTGCTCAAATTATGTTTGCCTGGTAACTATTCATTATAATTCAGTAGGAATTTATAACAATAACAACCAAAATATTGTTGTATAGAATTGGTAAAAAGAAACATTATCAGAATCAGTAATCATCAGTTATGCTTACCATATGCACACTATCCATTACTGTTAAAAATTATGAATATTATAATTTTTTATTTAAAGGTTCAGATTCATTGGCTAATTGCATGTATTTAGAGAAAAAAAATATAAGAAAATAATTTTTTTACAGAAACTATGTATATGATAATTTAAAAATAAATTTTTCAAGCGTGTTTGATTTTACACAGATACAAGCAGAGTGTAGTTATATTTTGTTTCATTTTAATCATTGTTGTTACATTTTTCTTTTGCTTCTTATGCTTTTTATGTTGAAGAAAAAAATTTAAAGTTATTGTTTTTCATATTTCAAGATGGGTTACAGTAATTCCCAGGGTTTAGAGATGTTTTTAAAAATTTCCTGTAAGTAAAATGAACAATCTTTCAAATAGCTCTACTTGCTATGACCACCTTGTTAATTATTGGACAATATTAAATGGTTTGGCACATTGATATTCTGTCAAGTGACCAGGCCTACTTTGACTAAACACCTTTGTAATTATTAAACAAAATTAAACTGTTAGGCACATAAACAACATTTTCATCAAGACATCTATTTTCTAAGGTTCTTTTTACCATTATACTAAGTCCACATGAATTTCCTATTCTGGACATAGCTACATAGAGATGACCATGAGAGAAACATTTGAATCATTTTCTAATGTTTATATTAATAATAACAATGATAAAATTTCTATATGAACAACATTTTCATCAAGACATCTATTTTCTAAAGTTCTTTTTATCATTATACTAAGTTCACATGAATTTCCTACTCTGAACATAGCTATATACAGCTGACCATGAAAGAAACATTTGAATCATTTTCTAATGTGTATATTATTATTATTTATTATTATTATTCAGCAGTACTCACTTTCCAATTTTTAAATATTTTGCATGGTAATTTGTAGTAATGTGAAATAGCAGACAATGTTAAATTGTTAAATAGCTCAAATATATATTTAATACCCAGCACAAATATTGTACTGATAGCCTTCAGCTAATTTCAATTTGTGCTTTAATGTAATCTTGGAAACACTGTATTACTAACATTACTTCCCTTCCCACTGCATTCTTTTTCAAGGCCTCTCAGTTGTAGTATCCTTATTGTTAGTTTCCCTCTCAAAGTTGTTTTCTGTTACCATAGCAGGATATGACAACACAACTATGAAATTCAAACTTTCTATTGTTCAAGGATCAGAGTTACCTGAAGTGGCAGGATAAACTTTTTGTACAGCAATTACATACAGAATGATAAAGTTTAATAAGTTGACCTGTTCCACCTGCAGTTGAAATGGGTTTTGCCCATTAAGTTCTATATTAACATGGTTTTCTGCTGAGGATACATTTTTATATTTTGATTTTTAACCCAAACCCCAGGTTGTACTTCTTCCCTGGGAGGAGGTTCGGTTTATTACCTGGTGCCTGAGGCATCCCCAAAAGGGAAAGTGCTAAATGGGCTTGGGAATTTTTGTGCAGCATTGCCATTAAACCCACTTTAAACCTTGACCTTGTGTCACATCCGGTTGCATTGTAGACACCCTGGTAAATACTTATAAAATCTATTTACCTGGTTAAGTTATATTAGATTAACATTGGTAGCAGAGCATTGTTATAATCTGCAGACTTGTCACATCCGGTTGCATTGTGGACACCCTGGTAAATACTTATAAAATCTATTTACCTGGTTACGTTATATTAGATTAACATTAGTAGCAGAGCATCGTTATAATCTGCAGACTTCTGGATTTTGGGTGCAGCAAACTTCTACTGCATGACTTTATTGATTTTAAACAAAATTGTTCAAAAACAAAATTCCGAAGAAAACTGGCTTACAAAATTTTAGTTTATTGTGTACCATGGAAATAATTCTTTGGTTTGTATCAAAATATTAAATGATAAATAAAAGAAAACCTTTCTTTTACAATACAACCAATACTTTATTTATAAACAAATTCTTTCAATATATGTGACACATTTGCGAAGTACAGCTGCTTCAAAAAGAAATTGAAATGAGTACATATTTAAATCAAAGGAAGGATTTAAATCATTTAAAAATGCGTTTAAAATACAGATTTAATGATTCATACTGAGAATCTCAATTTTGGGATAGATACATTAAAAAAAATAAGATGTGCTTTCCTAAAATTGGGTATTTTTGCCGAGTGGAAATTTATCATATAACCTCTATTATAATGTTCAGAGGAAGATACAAATGTTTTTTTGCGATAGAAACATCCAAGAAGAGAATTTTCTTCATATTTTTCATTTTACTCCTTATCTTCATCTTTTCCTTTCCCCCTCATCTTTATCATCTTCTTCCTCCTCATCAACTTCCTCTTCTTCTTTACTTCTTTCTCTTCTTCCTCTTCTTCTCCCCATCTTTTTCTCCTTGATGTCCTCTTCTCCTCCTTATCATTTCCCTCCTCCCTATTTTCTTTCTCCTCCCCTCTTTTATCATCTTCTTCCTCCTCCTCTTATTCCTCCTTTTCTCCTTCTTTCTCCTCTTCTCCTTCCTCCTTTTCTCCTCCTTATCATCATTTCCTCCTCTTTTTTTCTTCCTTCTTTTCTCCTCATCCTCTTCTCCTTATCTTCTCTCCTCATTATCTTCCTCTTCTCCTTTACTTCTTTCTCTTCCTCCTCCTCTTCTCCCCATCTTTTTCTCCTTGATGTCCTCTTCTCCTCCTTATCATTTCCCTCCTCCCTATTTTCTTTCTCCTCCCCTCTTTTATCATCTTCTTCCTCCTCCTCCTCTTATTCCTCCTTTTCTCCTTCTTTCTCCTCTTCTCCTTCCTCCTCCTTATCATCATTTCCTCCTCTTTTTTCTTCCTTCTTTTCTCCTCATCCTCTTCTCCTTATCTTCTCTCATTATCTTCCTCTTCTCCCTTACTTCTTTCTCTTCCTCCTCCTCTTCTCCCCATCTTTCTCTCCTTGATGTCCTCTTTTCCTTATCATTTCCCTCCTCTCTATTTTCTTTCTCCTCCCCTCTTTTATCATCTTCTTCTTCCTCCTCCTCCTCCTCCCTCCTTTTCTCCTTCTTTCTCCTCTTCTCCTTCTTATCATCATTTCCTCCTCTTTTTTCTTCCTTCTTTTCTCCTCATCCTCTTCTCCTTATCTTCTCTCCTCATCTTTCTCTTCTTCTTTCTTATTGTCTGAAGTTATGACAATAGGGTCTGTCAAACACTTACTGCTGATGAACATTCATCCTGATGATGCTTGCTAAAAATTTAGCTTCTGTTATAATGTACAGAAGGAGAGGCAAAATATTTTAAGCTAGAACCCGCCAAGAAAAGAATTGTTTTCTTCATCTTTTTCTTTTCTTTCTTCCTTATCTTCAATTGTCATGACAGTAGGGTCTTACAAACATTTGCTATGATGAAGCTGCCAAAAATTTTGCTTTAAATATTTATCAAGGAGCTCAAAGTGGAACCCACCAAGATTTACTCTCTTTTTGTGGAATTTCAAACCATCAGTTGATATCTTTATTTTTAGACCAATCAGAATCCCAGAAATCTTAAGACTCCATCCATCAGTTTAGAGCCCTTTATCAATTCAAATAATCAGATGATTATTTTTATATTAATTCACCAATCAACTTGCAAGAAATTGCAATATATTCCACATTAATTTGCAGACTCTTAGTGCACAAAATTCAAGACTTCATAAAATCATGTAAATAAATATTTTTCATAACAGGATATCATGCTTTGCAGGTGCTTCTCTGCAAAATAAATTGGAATTTTGGTAAGAATTAATGGCATCAGGAATAAAAAAAAGCAGATTGTGGAATATTAGTAACTTGAAGGTGTCTGTTAGAAATCTGAAACTGAAGCTTAATTGGAGATTTATCCATGGCAAGGATCAAGGATATTTTCCAATTAATCCAGAAATACCTTTAGGATAAGAATATAAACCAGCATTTCTAAACCATTTTTACTGTAATGTAGTGGTTCTCAACCTGGGTCCATATGGACATCACTGGGAGTTCACAAAAAAGCAACAAAAATAAGATGGAATAAAAGTAGTAATAAAATAATAACAGGGAAAATGCTTCATCTAAAAGCAACAATAATAAACTGGAGTAAAGCTAATAATTAAAAAATAATAACGGTGAAAATATATATAGCTTAAATTTTGCCATATTTTAGGGTGAGGAGTGCTCAATACAAGAGAGAGAGAGAGAGAGAGAGAGAGAGAGAGAGCATTTGTCATGACAGAACATATAGGCATTGTAATTAGCATTGTATAGTAACTTCAATGCAACCTTCAAGCCATGTATAACTATTACTCCATCTGTAGGCCACTTTATATATGTCTTCTCCTTTCACACAGTTGACCCCAGTGG